TTATTGATATTTATAGCAACATAACTTATTTTATTATTCCATCAGTGTATCTGCTGCTATAATTTGGCAGGCGCGTGAACAACCCTTAACAATGAGAATGAGGAGGTCTCTGTCCAGATAAAATAGTGGCTTGCCCATTAAAAGTGTTGCAACTTCCAGAAGCAGAGCCCATATTCCGTCCTCCAGCGCCAGGGCCCACGTTCACGGGGCCGCCAGCATAATGATAAGAACAAGGATAGTGGACTCCTGGGGCGCAAGGGTTGGCCGCGCGTGGACTGACAGTCGACATTCCACCACTAACGTCGTTAGATCCAGAATCTTGGCCAAAGTTTTGGCTTCCAGAACCAGTGCCGATTGCCGAAGTTATTGGCTCCACAGCAGCAGACATTATTGATATCCTTTTCACTTCAAAATGGGTTTAAATAATTTATAACCAAATTTTTCATCACAGATATTCAATTGCATCTGTGATATATATTTTCGTTATTCAGTTGATCTTTGTAACAAAAATTTTTGTCACAAAAAGTGCTTTTTGTGACAAATAAAATAGTTACAAATAACCTATTAACAATGTCAAATTTTTTTATTAGTATAAAAAGAGACTCCGCTGGCAGCCCAATGCAAGCAATTACAACACTGCTCTCATCATTGAAAGTTTGAAGACAAAAGAACCACTAACTTCTTAATAAAGACTAAAAACAACACTAACTCAATTTAAATGAATCATATATTGTCATATTAGATTTCAACTTTCAATTTTTGTAAGTTTCTTTTATCTTATTTTAAAATTTTGTCTTATACTTATTAGTACATATGTTTTAACAAAAAAATTAGTATACTCTCCTCCTATTCCAAAATAATTGATATTTTTTTATTTAGAATTTATCTTTGAATAATAGTAATTTTTTTATTTTAAACAAGATAAATAGTTTTTTTTGCTTAAACCCTCTAATTATCTTTTAACTTTAATTATTTATCTTTTTATTGAAATAGATATTTATTCTTAGTTATTTTTTAAGTATGAAATACTTAAAGATAGAAATTGTGTCACGCCCCAAAACCAAGAGCGAAACAGACGTCGTGCACTCGTGAACGGGTCCCACAAATGCACAAGGCTCGGAACCTATTGTGTTCATAATTATCAATTTACATAACTTAAATAAAAAAACTCGGTTAATATCTAACTTTCAATTACCAAAAATTTACTAGTCAAGATGTACAAAAGTTTATAAGACAGTCATGGCTATAACCAAGGGAAACTCAGTATACAAAAAAAATGATTTATGATTTCACATCTATGTCAAGCATGTGTGGCTAACGGTCTAAGTCCAAAAAGGATCTAAGTCCAAAATATTGACTAGTCATCTAGCTCGTCACTCCCCCTGGTTAACCGTGCCTCGGGTCTTACTTCCTGAAATAGTGGACAAGGAAAACTATGAGATAAGATATCTCAATAAGTAAAAATATGGATAGCCCGCTAGTAAAATTTAAGCATGCTTGATAAACAATTTAACATAACCAAGCATTCAATGATAAACCGTTAATGCAGAATAAGATTTAGTAGTAGTCTCATCTATAAGTCATGGCTAGTGTTTAACAAACTCCCATTGGCAGGCGTCAGTAATAACCAATGTATTATCCCATTGGCAGGATTACAGAATGAACCGGTTCTATCAATAAACATGGCGACATGTGCTAGCGTTTGCAAACTCCCACTAGCGGGCGTTAGTAATCATGACTATATCAGAGACAAAACCATGCAGGATTTACAGAAAAAATCCGTAATTCACAATCAATCTCAAATTTCAAGAATAAACCAGAAAAAGTCCATGTGGGCATGCTCAACCCCAAAAGAATAATAAAAATTTTCATTTCCATTCTAATCATGCTCAGGTGTTAATAAAATCAATTTAAACCTTGCCACCATCTCAAAAACAATTTAAAATATGCTTTCACTTTGAAATCGAAGAGCGTTACCATAATTTACTTACCATAATTTACTTACCTCAATCGCATAACACAGAAAACTCACTCCAAGTGCTAGGGTGACAGAATAATCAAGAACCTAACCAAAATATTCTAGAATTAATAACTATATGACAGGACATCTCGATTTTATTCTCAATATAACTAAACATTTAAACCTTCCTATTGTTGCCGGCCATTAATCCCATAAAGAAATCTTATTCCTTTATTTATTTATTTATCTTTGTTTTCTTTTATCTGAAATTTGAGCACAAAAAATTAGATTGTGCATTTATATATATGTACATAAACACACATATACAAAATTCTCCAATTTCATGGACAACATGGAGGAACCGGCTTTTACAAAACAATAGCTAATTCACAGGATTTTTCTCTAGAACCCCACAGTAGCCAATTAATACTTAATCACATAAATTCTACATGAATTAAGCTTAATTTTGTTCTAATTACTACTGGAATTCATCCCCTATTTTAGCAGAAATTCAAACAACACAAGGGTGGCAATTAATGGATAACTTCAACAACTAATGGGTAATTTTGGACTTAGAAGGAGTTGTCACATACCAGAAATTCAGCAAGCAGAATCAGAGCTGGCAGTTTGGGGACAGCTAGCGAAAAGTGAAGGAGAACTTAGGGGATCTACCAGAAATTGGGAGAAACCAAAAGAAATTAGAGTAAACCTAAGCCAAATCAAGGGAGAAAAGAGGAATTAGTGGTTGTTTCCTTACCAGAAACCTGAAGAATTCACACCCACAAACCAAGAGCAACAGACGGAGGGGGAAAGAGCAAAGCAGATCTGAAATTTTTTGCAGGGGGGAAGATTTCTAAATTCTAAATCTTGTTTTTGAACAAGAAAAGAAGGGAAAGATCAACCTTTTACCATTTCTCAAGAGGGTGGTTATGTCGATGGCTTGGCTTCTTGTTGGGTTGTAGGGGATAAGAAGAAGAGTAGAAACATGCGGCTGAGGAAGAAAGAAAGAAGAAAAAATTTCAGCCATTCCTTATCCAATTTCTTTTCTCTTTTAAGTCCCTCAAATTTGAAAATTTGATGATTAAGCTCAACAATATTATTTTCTCACAATTAGGTCCCTAGCTCACACTTAATTGTTCTAGAAAGTTTTGGGGTATTACAAATTGTCTTCAATTCCTTCATTTGAAAATAAAACAAAAAATCTATTATGCTAGTATGGAGGGAGTAATATTGAAGTAATGAAGCTTATTGATTTTTATTATTACAAAAAATTGTATAATTTCCTTTTAGGATTTAGAGTTGTTGAGATTACAACTAAAATTTATGATAATATTGAAGTTATATGGAATGGAATTGGATCAGAGTAAAAAAATGGAAAAAAAAAAAAGAAAAGAAAGAAGAAAGTATAGATCCATAAAGGGAACATATATGAACCTAGCAAAAGGTAAAACCTTGGATATAGTCATATAAAGAAAGAGCAATAGGAAGATAAATTAGTATAAAGTGTAATTAGCTTGTAAAAAGGGGAAAAAAATTCTTTGATTATAGAAAGTGGTAGGATGAAGAGATAGGATGTTGTCATATTTTATATTTGTCAACCTCAATCGTGGAAATGGAGAATCTCTTCTACTAGAGATAACTGATAACTTAGATAATTAAGTGCTCTACCACTACATACTAATATACTATTTTGGGAATCTTTGATGAGTTTAATTTTTATATGCATTTATCTACCCTTTTTAAGCCTAGAATTAAATTTTATGGGTCTTTTGTAACTTAGTTTCACCTTTGTTTATATTAAATTCATTATTGTGGGTGGAAATTAAGATAGGAATTAATTTGCAATAAGTGACAATTTGCACATGCTGCTGTAATTTAACCATATCTTTTTCTCTAGGTATCGGATTGAGTTGATTCTTTAGGCGTTGGAAAGCTAAGAAGCAGAGCTACAATTGATGTTTTATGAGCTCAACCCAGTTCCTTCTGTATCAATATAGAATTTAAGTTGAAGTTGACGGTTTTGACAATGGACAAAGTGCAGAAACGAAGAGAATTGGGCTATGTTTTCTAGTTGTGGGCCAACTGTAATCCAGACCCAGAATAAAGCCCAATTCCCATGTCTGCTAGGGTTAAAAGAAATAAGGACTTCTAATTTCTGAAGATATATATGCGAGGAGCCCCACAGACGCAAGGGAGAGTTGTTCTGCGCAAGAGGTCAAGAGCACCCAGCCGCCCAAAATCCCAACCACCCACATCTGTTGCTCACCAGCAGAAGAAGAGGACACCAACACGTAATACCGAATCAGTTTGCATCTGAACAAGGAGAAGAAGCCCTGAATATCTGTTCACTAGCAGAAGGGAGAACGCCCACCCAGATCTGTTTGTGAAAGAGCCAATGCCGCCGACAGCCTCTGTTCTTCTCAACCAGCTTTGTTAGGGAGGGACAACAGCACAAGTTTGGCTTGTTCTTCATTGGATGGGTGTTGTTGATTCTTAATTTGAATTTTTTTTTCATGATTTTCTGTTGGAATTACCTAATTATGGCTGCTGTTGGCAACATAATCATGCATAGCTAAATTTCTTTGAACTATGGATGGATGAATTTTAATTTTTGGAATATGTGACTGTTTTTGTTAGTTTAATTCAAGATTTATTGGTTATTTGCATGATGAGTTTATATTATTGAGTTTAATGCATTGAAAGCTTGATCACCTTTCAATTGATTTAGTGATTTATGTATGAACTTGAGAAAGAATTGCGTAGATTAGACCAATAATAATATAAACTGTGTGCTAGACTATGAGACCGAGAGGTAATTAGCTCACATGTGGTAGTGGAGGAAGAGAAGAGAGTTAGTAGCTCCCCCTTCTTAAGCTAGAGGTTTCGATAAAATTTAATGCTTATTAGTTTGTTTAAAATTACATAGAGATATGATTAATTTAGCAAACAAATGAAAGATTAGCTTGACTTGAGAAAGCTGGTTAATTAATTTAGGGAAATCCGTCATCTCATGCAATAACACTATTATTTGAACTTGAATTAAATTAATAAAACAGTTGCATAATTCAGAATTAAATGAAATCCAAACCCTAGTTCCTTCTCATTCATAGTTTCTTTAATTTAGAAAATTCTTTAGTTTAATTTCCTTAGTTTACTTAGTTTTCTTTTAAATAGTTTAATTTTTCCCATTAATTGGTTAATTCAACTTAGGTTAGATTAATAGTGTCTTGGTAGTGTAGGATAGTCCTCGAGAGAACGATATCTTACTCATCTTATACTGCATAATCGATTAGGTTCACTTGCCTAAAAGTAGTACGTATTCGGTGCATCAAGTTTTTGGTGCCGTTGCCGAGGACTAGTCGTCTACATATTAAGATTAATAATTTGGCCTTAGATTGAATTTTTTTTTCTTTTTTCTTTTTCTTTCTTGATTAGTTGTTTTTTTTGTTTTTATTCTTTATTTATCTTAGTTTTATTTTTTTTTTTTACTTTTTGATTTTTTTTTAGGATATTAGTGCATGGCCCGTAGTAGTAGTGGTGATCTTGTTCAATTTGATCCAGAAATTGAGAGAACTTTTAGAGAGTTCTTAAGAGAGCAAAAGCAGAACATCATGGCAGAAGAAGGTGAAGGACAAAATAATGCACGCACTCTTGGTTCATATGCTACCCCATCCCTTGAAGGAATAGCATCCAGCATTAGGAGGCTAGCAATTCAAGCCAATAACTTTGAAATCAAACCAGCTATCATTCAAATGATCCAACAAATTGTCCAATTCAGTGGTTTGCCTAATGAAAATCCTTATTTGCATATTGCTAGTTTTCTTGAAATTTACGATACTTTTAAGGCTAATGGTGTTAGTAATGAGTCTGTTAGGCTTACATTATTTCCATTTTCTTTGCGTGATAAAGCCAAGAGTTGGCTTCAATCTTTTCCTGCAGGTCATTTTACCATATGGAATGTTTTGGTAGATAAATTCATAGCTAAATTTTTTCCTTCTTTGAAAATAGCTAAGTTGAGAAATGGCATTTCTACTTTTGTTCAATTTGATAATGAGTCATTATATGAGGCATGAGAAAGATTTAAGGAATTGCTTAGGCAATGTCCAAATCATGGTTTACCTGTTTGGCTCCAAGTGCAGACTTTTTATAATGGTATGACTCCTCCTAATCGTTCTATAATTGATGCAGCTGCAGGGGGTAATCTTATGAATAAGACAGAGGAGGATGGCTATAAGCTGTTAGATGAAATGGCCTCTAATAGCTATCAATGGACTAATGATAAAGCTACCAAAAAGGGAGTTGGTTTACCTAATGTTGATGCTTTTACTTCTTTATCTACTCAAATTTCTGTTTTGAATAAAAAGTTAGATAATTTAGGAGCATCAGCAATGAGTATTTCATCTAATAGTTGCTGTGAATTGTGTGGGCAATTTGGTCATGCTAGTGTTGAATGTCAAGTAGGCAATTCAGTTTAATCTTCTAATGAGCAAGCTAATTTTGTTTCTTCTAGTGGTAGGTCTAATTTTAATCCATACTCTAACACCTACAGTCTAGGATGGAGGAGCCATCCTAATTTTTCATGGAGTAATAATCAAGTGAGAGTACCACCAGGTTTTCAGCAACAAAATCAGCAAAAAAAGAAGCCAAATTTGGAGGAGTTGGTGCACAAATTTGTTAGTAGTACAGAAGCACGGTTTCAAAATCAAGAAATAAGGTTTCAAAATCAAGATGTTGCTATTCAGAATATAGAAACGCAACTTGGACAGCTTGCTGTTATGGTTTTTGGAAGAGTTCAAGGGGGTTTGCCAAGCAATAGTGAAAAGAATCCAAGGGAGCAATTGAAGGCTATCACTTTGAGGAGTGGAAAATAACTTAAAGAGGTAGGACAATTTGATGAGAAAGAAGAAGGTGTGGAAGTTGGTGAATCAAGGCAAGAGGAAGAGCCTAAAAGACTTTTTCATGATTCGAATGTCAAGCCTTATAAGCCGAAAATCCCTTTTCCCCAAAGTTTTTTGCAAGCTAATTTAGACAACTAGTTTTCTAAATTTTTAGAGGTGTTTGAAAAGTTACATATTAATTTTCCTCTTATTGATGCTATTTCGTAGATGCCAAGCTATGCAAACTTTTTGAAGGAGATCCTTGCCAATAAAAGGAAGTTAGAGGAGTTCGAGATGGTGAAGTTAAATGAAGAATGCTCTGCTATTCTTTAGAATAAGTTACCTCCTAAGTTGAAGGATCTAGGGAGTTTTTCTATTCCTTGTATTATTGGCAATCTTAATTTTGATAAAGCTTTGTGTGATTTGGGTGCTAGCATTACTTTGATGCCTTTTCATGTATTTAGGAAACTTGGATTAGGAGAACCTTCATCTACCATAGTCTCTCTTCAATTGGTGGATAGAAGCATAAAATATCCAAGAGGAGTGGTAGAGGATTTTTTGGTAAAAGTTGACAAATTTATTTTTCTTGTTGATTTTATTGTTCTTGACATGGAAGAGGATTTTGAAATGCCTTTAATTCTTGGGAGACCATTCCTTGCTACTGGTAGAGCTCTTATTGATGTTCAACAAGGGAAACTTAACCTTAGAATACATGATGAGGAGATTATTTTTAATGTGTTTGATGCTATGAAAAATTGTGATCATGATGGCAGTGCTGTTTTAAGGATTGATGTGGTAGACAATGTAGTGACTGAAAATTTTGATGCTTCTAGATTAGATGATCCTATTGATAATTGCATTGTTAATGCTTTGGATGTGAAAGCTGATAGTGCAGACAATAACATTTTGGAGGTAGCAGCTATTTTTGGGGAAAAATGCTATAGGCAGCCACAAAAAGGAGGAAATTTTCTGCCCTTGGATGCACCGTCCATTGTGACAGTCAAGCCATCCAAAAAGGAGCCCCCTACTCTTGAATTAAAACCTCTTCCTTCTCAATTAAAGTATGTTTATTTGGGTGATTCAAATACCTTACATGTTATAATTTCTGCTTCTTTGACAGGAATAGAGGAGGAGAAACTCTTAAGGGTGTTGTGAAAACACAAAGGAGCTATAGGATGGAGTATAGCAGATATCAAAGGAGTTAGCCCTTCGGTTTGCATGCATAAAATTCTGCTAGAGGAAGGGCACAAGCCAATGGTTCAGCCTCAAAGATGCCCTAATCCTAACATGCAAGAGGTGGTAAAAAAAGAGGTAATCAAATGGTTGGATGCATGTATTATTTTTCCTATCTCTGATAGTACTTGGGTGAGTCCTGTGCAAGTAATGCCTAAAAAGGATGGGACAACTGTGGTAAAAAATGAAAATGATGAATTAATTCCTACTAGAATAATAACAGGGTGGAGAGTGTGCATAGATCATAGGAAACTTAATGAAGCTACTAGAAAAGACCATTATCCATTGCCATTTATTGATCAAATGATTGAGAAACTTGCTGGACATGAATATTATTGTTTTTTGGATGGTTATTCTGGTTATCATCAAATTCCTATTGCCCCTGAGGATCAAGAGAAAACAACATTTATTTGCCCATGTGGTACTTTTTCTTTTAAACGAATGCCTTTTAGTTTGTGCAACGCTCCAGGTACCTTCCAAAGATGTATGATGGCTTTATTTGCTGAATTTGTTGATGAGTTCATGAAAATTTTTATGGATGATTTTTTAGTTTTTGGCTCTTCATTTGATGGATGCTTACATAATCTGTCTAGGGGTGCTTAAAAGATGTGACAAAACTAACCTAGTATTGAATTGGGAAAAATGCCATTTTATGGTTAGGGAAGGTATAGTGCTAGGTCATAAAGTATTCTCTAAAGGTATTGAAGTTGATAGAGCTAAAGTTGAGATAATTGAAAAGCTTGCTCCTCTTAAATCAATTAAAGAAATTAGAGGTTTTCTTGGACATGCTAGTTTTTATAGGAGATTTATTAAGGACTTCTCAAAAATTGCTAAGCCTCTTACTAATCTCTTGGTTAAGGAAACACCATTTTTCTTTGATGATGATTGTATGAATGCTTTTCAATTGTTGAAAGAGAAATTGGTTAATGCTCCTATTGTTGTTGCACCTTGTTGGGATTTGCCTTTTGAGATAGGTTAAATACCCTTTTTGGTCCCTCTACTATAGGAAAAAGCCCTTTTTTGGTCCCTATACCGAAAAAATTTCCTTTTTGGTCCTTACTGTTCACAAATACGGTCCATTTTTAGTCCCTCCGTTAAATTTTGGCTGAGGTGGCACGTTAATTAACGGAAAAACTCATTTTGATTTTTTTATTAAATTACGTGGAATATCCATCTGGCGAAAAATGATGACATGGTTAAATTTTTTAATTTTAATTACTGATTTGCCCTCAAATATTGATGACATGGTAAAATTTTTTC